TATTCTTGAAAACATTAATCAATCATCATTGTTAGACCACCATTAGAAACCTGGAAGCACTGGACGGCCGTTTCGTCCTAGTATGGGACTCCTCAGCAGTGCGCATCCACGACTCCTGCTCCTCGCAGGATTCGAACCCGGGACCTTTGGCATTGTAGGCGAACGCCTTACCATCGGACCACTGGGCCGGCATCCAACGGTGTTAATGTCTAACTCTGATTGATCTAGGGATTTTGCGCGACCTCACCCATTTGTCTTTGGTAGTTACTGCCTACACCCGACAGGGTTGAACTCCACTGGTCACGTCTTCTCAACTAGAACTCCGAGAATTTCCTCACGAAGCTAGTCACTAGTGAGCACTGTTACATTATATTGGGGCACAGTTTTGGAGGTTTGCGTTTTTACACATTTGAAATCATTAATCAATCATCATTGTTAGACCACCATTAGAAACCTGGAAGCACTGGACGGCCGTTTCGTCCTAGTATGGGACTCCTCAGCAGTGCGCATCCACGACTCCTGCTCCTCGCAGGATTCGAACCCGGGACCTTTGGCATTGTAGGCGAACGCCTTACCATCGGACCACTGGGCCGGCATCCAACGGTGTTAATGTCTAACTCTGATTGATCTAGGGATTTTGCGCGACCTCACCCATTTGTCTTTGGTAGTTACTGCCTACACCCGACAGGGTTGAACTCCACTGGTCACGTCTTCTCAACTAGAACTCCGAGAATTTCCTCACGAAGCTAGTCACTAGTGAGCACTGTTACATTATATTGGGGCACAGTTTTGGAGGTTTGCGTTTTTACACATTTGAAATCATTAATCAATCATCATTGTTAGACCACCATTAGAAACCTGGAAGCACTGGACGGCCGTTTCGTCCTAGTATGGGACTCCTCAGCAGTGCGCATCCACGACTCCTGCTCCTCGCAGGATTCGAACCCGGGACCTTTGGCATTGTAGGCGAACGCCTTACCATCGGACCACTGGGCCGGCATCCAACGGTGTTAATGTCTAACTCTGATTGATCTAGGGATTTTGCGCGACCTCACCCATTTGTCTTTGGTAGTTACTGCCTACACCCGACAGGGTTGAACTCCACTGGTCACGTCTTCTCAACTAGAACTCCGAGAATTTCCTCACGAAGCTAGTCACTAGTGAGCACTGTTACATTATATTGGGGCACAGTTTTGGAGGTTTGCGTTTTTACACATTTGAAATCATTAATCAATCATCATTGTTAGACCACCATTAGAAACCTGGAAGCACTGATTATTATTTTTTTTCTTCCAGTTTTTTTCAGTATTTGATTTAAGGAGTGAAAACACGTAGATAAATTTTCAATTTATATATTTTGTTGTTTTATCTGGAATTTATCTTTGTTCAAAATTTCTCTACCTGTTTTTCATTTTAATTTCTGACTGATTGTGTGTATTTCGCTTATTTATTTGTCTATCTGTCTACGTACCTACCTACCTACCTACCTACCTACCTACCCGTTTTCATATTTTCGATTTATTTCAATTTTCAACAATTTTTCACTTTCACTATTTGTCTATTCAACTTTTTTTTAAAAATATAATCTAAAATTATACACAGTCGCTTCTGAGTTTGGTATAACCACAATTTATTCCAATAATTAAATAAATTATTCACTGTAACTTAATTCTTACCCTGATAACTAATCATTGTATCATATATGAGTTTGTATTTTTTTTTCACAGTCATGATACAGATCCAAATAGAAAATTTAAAGCAGATAAGTTGTAACTTGTCGGGTTTATGGTTTAAAACCGGGTTTTAGTTAAGTTCGATTCAATATCTCTATTGTGTCCACTGGCTCTCATGAAATTTGGCTCAAAGGCATAGTACATGAGTTCTTGCTTGTAAATGAAGTATATTTACCATTTTGGATAATATTTGATACTATACCTGATCATATGATCGTATAAACTCTTAGGTGAAAAAGAAGTTGCATTTTTTCCCCAAATCAATTATGAACTAACGAACTTCAAATGATCAGTGTGATAATCTCATAGTAGTTTCATTCGAATTTACTTTTTTCGATTTTTTTTAGCCTATCTATCAAACTGTTACTCTCCTCTGTCAGGAGCTTATGCTGAAACTCGTTACATTTCATGTACAGTACCGAATTCAAATGTTGACTTTCATAAAATGAGTTCTTGTATCGTTAATAGTCAGGCAAATAACTGTATTGAACTGTCTCCACCATGTTATAACAAAAATTATCTCTCGTCAAATGATCAACATATGACAAAATTTCGTGATTCCACATGTATGGTGAATGGAGTGCATAGTCTTAGTCCTTTGAATAGTGCTTATCCAAATACTTCAGTAATTATTAATCCTGGACAATTGGATTCACGTGTACGCAGTAAACATTTTGAATCATTTACTGATAATAGTGGAAATGGTGAAAGTGGTAGTGGTTTATCTGCTACAAGTGGATTAGGAAGTACTGCTATAGGAAGTGGAAGTGCTAAATATCCTGGTTATCGACATCCTGATGATGTACATGCTGTGTAAGTCTATATTCACCTTTTTACATAAATTCTTTTATTGTTTTATGAACACTTTGTCACTTTTAGTTAATTGGCATAAATACTACTGGTACTGCTATCAATAATGATCATAAGAATAATAATGATATTAATATACTCATTACTTTTTTAATGATAAGTTTTGTTATGATGAATGAATGTTATCCTATTTCATATAGTGCTGAAAAAAGTAATGAAAATATAATTTATTAGTCTGGGCTCATGAAATACTGTTATTGTATTTCATTATTCATTGATATGTTAACTATACAAGTGTCAATATCAATCTTGTAACATATAAAGTAATGTCCTTGTTCAATTTTGTAACATTTCTTGTTGTCAGTATGGGTTTAGAGTTAACATTGTCTCTTCATACTTTCATGTCTAATTTTCTCAAATTATAGTTTTATGATCTTTTCTCTATCAATACATTTTTTCTCAGTATTGATCATATCTTGATTTTATAGTTGGTTTAGTACCATGAGTTTATGATTTAATGCTTTTTTTTACTACTTGTCTATTCTAAATTGAATTCAAAGCAAAGAATAACACCTTTTTTTTCTTAAGGTCGATCTTTGTATTTGGTTTTGTTCGAATGATTTTATTAGGTAATAAAAAGAAAAACATTCATTTCAGAAGATACAGTGAATAATACTACAGTGTTTGAGTACGATAATCGGTTAATACTTGATTGTGGAAGCTAAATTTTTTTCAAAGTACCTAATGATTAAATGTGTGTTCTCAGAGTGTCTTCGCTCCCTAATCTTCTCCATTACCAGTGATACTTCTACTATCACTATCACTCTTGGATTTGAACTGACAGTTGCGTCTCTGTGCTGATGTGGTATGGCAACCTGAACTGATGTACTTACGTACGAAGTTCTGAGTTGTATCTGTCTGTCTGTCTGTCTCAGATTAATCATTCGATTTCGTGATCGCATGGTTTGAGTCTGTTTTAGCTTTTACTTTTATGGACTTCTCTTAATGAATAATCGCTCATTATCCTACTAGTTGAATAAGTGATGTATAATTTCATTATAAAAACTTCACAAAGTTAATACCAATAAAATTTATTCAGCATTGCAATGGAAACGAGAATATAAAACAATTCTGTAAATTTTGTATTATACAATATACAACTATTAATATACTTGTAACAGATTACTTTCCAACAAACTGTACTAAACTCAACTATATTGTGCTTTACTGTGGTTATATTTGAATAACGATTTGATTGTGACCGATATGGTCTCGTTTACTTTCACAGGTATGAGGGCGGTTGTCATTTCCCAGCTGCCCACTCCGTGGAAGGGTACTTCTTGGAGGACCTGAAAAGGAAATCGGGTTAACATCGGTTTGAGTGACCTGGAAGCCTTGATTGCAGAGCCCAAGGGGAAACTGCTTGAGGCCGGTCACGCACGGCTTTTTTATGGGACGTTTTTGAAGTATAACTTTGTAACTGACTGACTATGTTTGAATAAAATGATTATGTCTATTGGGGACTGAGATACTTGCAAATTAAGAGATGAACTTAACAACGGTGGGCTAGCACACAACACTTCAACAATTTAGTAATATGCATAATAAAGAGAATTCAACCTTCATATAAACATAATGGTAGAAACAGATTGGCAGCCAGTCAGAAAAAGGTAGTCATGTAGAAGATGGAATTGCAGAATAGAGCATTTGCGCCTGCCGTTACTTGTAGGACTTTAGGAATATTAACAAAAATTGTGTTATCCGATGATCACCCTAGCAGTTTTATGCACATTTCCTTGTAACACTTTATTCATTTTCATCTCAAGTTGCGTAGAAGTTTTGTGAAACTCATTATCATGGGATAATCGTTAATGAAGATGAAAAAGCTTTCTAATGATTGCCAGATTGTTTTTTAAGAAAAAATTAGTTCTGTAGCTCTAGTGCACTATATATAATGATTACTATAAACAGTAACAAAACTTAACATCGGAAATCTTTATTAATATTTTCAGTAATGGACCAACACATGGCAGTGACTCATCTAATTGTTCCAATGTACACATGAATATTTTGATGCATCGAAATAATCATACCTCATCACCATACTTTACTACTTCAACAGAACACCAACTACAACAGCAGCAACAACAACAACAACAGTCTATTTCAAAATCTGTTTTAATGCCATGCAATACATCTTGTTCTCCTACGTCATCGTCTTCTTCATCCTCAAATTCTAAGCATGGAATAATTACAAAAGAATTAAATTGTAATTCTGGTTATTCAAATAATTTTATTACAAACAATATTAATAATAATAATGAGAATTTGTCAAAATCTTTTCAGTATGTTATACCTGAGAATATTTTATCGAATAATAATAATTCAATGCAGTTATCATCGTTATATGGTAGATATGGTGAACTTCCACAACAACAACAACAACAACACCCACACCACCACCACCAACAACAACAACAGCGATCAACCAATTCAATTGTTGTATGTAATCCAATTACATCGAATAATGCAAATTTTCAAGAATTCTCCATGTTATCAACACCAACTTATGATCATTGTTTCAGTGAATCGAATTTTACATAGAATTGATATTTACAAGTCTCCGGCCTTGAAAATTGCGCTAACAATGATACTGGTGTTCAATTGTGATTGAAATAAACCAAATAGTTGTAGTACTTCTATCACTGGTACTATAATTATAGTCATGAATCATAATGGCATCGGTGTACACTATATATAGATCTATTCGAGTATGATCATTGATGAGAGTTGAATTTATTTTAAAGTGATATCATCCTATTCATTACACTGCAGTTGTTCATTTTTGTATTCATACCACTCCAGAATTTTTGTATTTTTTTTTCTTCATTCGTTTATATGATTTTCTCATATTTATTCATTTATTATTTTTTAAACTAGTTTTCATGATTTAATCAAGCATTATGCAACTCACACCTGATATATTATATATCTTTGTATATATATGGATTATATATTTTAGACATGAGACATCTTCTATTCATGAGCAGTATTTCAGATCTCAGTATTTATAATCTCATGTATTATTTGTTTCTAAATTTAGGACACAATATTATTATTATTATTATTATTATTATTATTATTATTTATCTATTGTCATTTCCTATTGATTAATTTTATATTATTGTCTACTTTCACATTTCTTTTATATATATATATATATTTATGCCGAGGATATCTTTGCAGCCAAATCATCAAGCTCAGTGAATCCAAACACTGACCATAGGTGGTATCCTACCTATCATCAAGCTGCACATTTTTATCATTATTTATTGTAAAACTAACTATTCTATGCTTTTTTCATTGACGAACTGACTAACTGGCTGACTGACTGATTGTATGGTGTATTGTTCATGTTTGCATCATGATGATGATTTATTTTTGTTTGATGCATTTTCTTCATGACATTGTTACATTTTACAATTGTACTATTAATATTATCATTGCTAGCAGTCAGTAGTATATATTGTTGTGCAGTGTTTTTTTTTCAGTGCATTTGTTTCGTTTGTTTGCTCGATTGTTTGTTTATTTTATTAGTGTAATGACGAATTTAACTTTCTTGTAAATTTCTTTTTCTCTTCTTCTTCTTCTTCTTCACAGTAGACTTTTCCAGTAACTTTCTTACTCATTCATTTATGATTTACATGTATATATATATAAATCTATAGGCCAACATGAATATATACGTATGCCAACATTAATAATGCCTCTGATGATGCTGATGATGATGACGATGCGTATATATATATATATATATATATATATATATATAGACACAGATTATTTATGTACCTGTTATTGGACACTTGTATGTATGTTTGTTGTTTTTCCATTTGAAATTTGACATAAATGTGACATAAAGTCTAACAAAAATATTTGTGTACGCATCTCATTTCACTATGCAGACAAAGTAGAATAACTCAATCTTATATGACTTAACGCTAGGCGTTTTATTCATTTTGTTATTGTTGTTAATGTTGTCGTCTTATCTTTCTTGTTTTATTTTTAAATTCTCAACATTTTGATTAGTTTGTATTTTTTGTTTATGTTCGTGTACATATATATATACATACACATATATTTATTTATTTATTGTCTATTTATCTTTATTTCCATGTATTCACAGTGCAAATTTAATTGAATATTTTTAAGCTTAACTAATAATTTATATATTTTATTGAAAATGATTTATTCAAACATTTCAGACATAAAATGCAATGCATTAACAACAGGTAATAAATAGGTAATCATCTTCTTATTGTGAACAACAATATCAATGAGATAGTTTGAAGAGAATCCATTTGCTAGACTGATTGTGAATTGTTAGTGTTTGTTATTCAAAAGTTGAAATATACACAGCTTAGTGTACAATTACAAACTGATGAGAAAGTTAATGTTTTGTTTATCGTTGTTTTCTGACCGGCGACATAAATACCATTCATTGAAGGTTGAAAAACTAAACGTTATCGGTTGTTATGTTAAGACTAATTAACATATGATTACTATTCACTTGTATTGTTTTAACTTGATTCGATCGCGAAATTATTGTTTTAAACTAACAAATTTTCGTAAATTGCAATTAGCTTTAAGCAGCATATAGATAAGATGATCGATCGTAAATGCATATTTACAAGCGATTTACTGTTTCTTCCATTTTAATCTAATGAGATTGTTTAGTATTTGTAATGCGAAACTGTTGAGGTTGAGAATATAAACTATTTTCATTATGATAATGATTCACCTTTCCATCGTATTTTGATAATTTCTGTCATGTTGAATAATCAATTTACTGGAGCTATTAATGATTGAAATTTGATTTATATTCACAGCAAAGTGAATCTGCATGGCATTTTCGTGCCTAAAATATATTTTTTTTTTACATGGTAGGTTTTATCTACTGATACTCTGTGGTTGATTTATGTCAATTTATATTTTATTGAATGCTTTATACACTGAAAAAAAATGAATGAAAATTAAATTCATTGATTGGAATAATTATAATTGCTCACTTAAAGGAACTGTGCTATTTATCTCTACCTTCAGGCCATGAGCAGAACACGGAACTGAAATAATTCAGCCCGAAATTATGATTTATTTTCGGTCATTTTGTTTATTGTGTGGTCCACACTAATAATCTTTTGTAACACTATATTTCATGTGTATAGTATACGTAACACAAGTGCGAGTAGGTGCTTAGGATTATTTTATTGCGATAAATTATCAAGTATCGGACAATCAGTGATGGAATTAATCTTGATAATAAAAATAAATTAAAATGCATCCACTTAGTACAGTTATTTATTTACTTATGACGTAAATTTTGATAGAGGAATGAGAAATATGACGTATTCAGGCTGTACATTTTAACCTATCTCGTCAGATTGTATGTTAAGGGGCATCAACCTACAAAATTAATAAAAGCCGAATAAAAACAAGTTCAACTAAACATGATTTGATCATTGTAAAGAAACAAGAGGAAAAAAAGTCAATTCAATATGACAAGAATAGTGAATTGTCGTACTACTCCTGGTCGTAAAGTGGCTTAAAGATTCAAGGCTACAACATATTGTTTTTGTACAATGGAAAGGGAGGTTGAATTTGTTGTATAAATTAGAAAATTCACATAAAAGTTTTCACTTGATACTGATAAGTCAATACTTGATATTTTCCTCGTTCTTTATAATACTTTTATTGACCATTTTTTATTTCACGAATCGCCACTATTTCAGGCAAATAACCATTATACATCCAGATCATGACTATTCTGTTAGTACTGTGTTTTTCCATCGATCTCTACCTTAGAACTATAAAGCAAAATAATAGAGCTCATGTATTAGTTAATCGGAGATAATTTACTTGATATTTTAATGACATACTGACGATGTTGTCGAGTACAATAAATGATATATAGTGTAACGTGATCATAAATGAAACTCAACTTCAAATCCTAGCTGTCTAATAATAAAATTAAGTCGGTCAAACGAATTGTATCTTCCATCCCTGTTCAGTATGTCAAATCAAGCTGATATGATTTTGAATGGCATAACCAATTACAAAATAAGTTTAAAATCTGTATTGTTTTACTTCTGAATGCCATATTAATTAGTTCAAACTGTTATTGATTTCCTTTAGTACAAGCAAGAAAGAAGTTATATGTTCCTACCGTAGAAATATTTGAATTTTGATAAGGGAATAAGTAATTTTGGAGTATATTGCAAATAATTGTCTTGACATACAAAGTTTACGTGAAGTTATATTCACATCCGTCTAGTTTTATCAGAACGTTCGGTTAATGCTATACATTATTACAAAATATGTCCGAATTAAAGTACGGCGCTGAAGAGTTATAGACTATTTTTTGAAAACAACCTACCTTGTTTTTTTCGTACAGAATTAACAAAATCTATATGTTAGCTAATGTTTTCCTATATTAGTTATATTGTTCTCTTCCAGCATTGACTTAATTCAATGTTTCATAAGAGACTAACCTGTTCGAAATGAATTAATTTAGACCATAGTTAGTGTACAACTTTTTCTGTCGAACTTGTAACTAAAATATGTAAACTTTTGGAGTAGAAAATATCAGTTAGATTTTATTTACTTCAATTTTGGCATAATAATTATTCAATTTCTCAGAACCAGTTATGGATAAAGATTTTGAGGTTCATTAGTAAAAATGAAAATATATTATCAGTTCTTTTGAAAAGTTTCATTGAACACTACTAAAACATGAACACTTTTAGAAAAAAAGAACAACTGTTCACATTATCTCATAATAATCAAATTGAAAATACCCATTTATAAAAAGTACAATGTTTGATGTGTTATACTTCTGTAACGAAAATGCAAAATGTTGCTTCAGGGACTGAAGTAGTCGAACGTGTAGACCGCTTCACTTACCTGGGGAGTCTCATCAGTGCTGATGGCCTGGTGACTGACGAAATCTCAGCTTGACTGACTTTTGCCAACCTGCGTCACTTATGGCGCAGGCGAGATATCTGTTTGCTAACCAAAGGACGTGTGTACCGTGCAGCAGTTCGCTCCGTCCTACTGTACGGATCCGAAACATGGCCGCTAAGAGTAGAGGACTTCCGTAGGTTACTAGTCTTCGATCATAGGTTTTTTAGAATGATCGCTCGTGTATCATGGGACAACCGAGTAAGCAATGCTGTCGTTGCGAAACGAGTACTAGGTAAGGATGACAGATCAATAGATGAAGTAGTGAAACTTCATCAGTTGAGGTGGCTGGAACATGTGTTACGAATGCCTAACCACCGACTGCCTTGTCGAGCTATGTTTTGTGATGTAGGAGTAGGTTGGAAGAAAGTTAGGTGCAGCCAAACCAAAACATGGCAGAAATCCATGAAGTCACTGACAAGTGGACTGAGTCATGCTGGTAGATGTAGGCTACGTGGTTGGGGTCCGCGAGACGAAAGTCACCAATGGTTAGAGACCTTGAACAAAATGGCTCAGAATCGTTTGCGATAGCGCAGGTGCATCCACTGTATGTGTTCTCTCTAATTCTAACTTCCTGAATTCCTAATAATCTCTATCTTTCTCCTTTTAAATTTATCTCACTGAATTATACTTCTTGAATCATATGCTGGCTCCCTAATCTTCTCCATTACTGCTAATACTTCTACTATCGTTGTCACTGTTGGATTTGAACTGACGATTGCGTCTCTGTGCTAATGTGGTATGGCAACCTGAACTGATGTACTTACGTACGAAGTTCTGCGTTGTATCTGTCTGTCTGCCTATAAATACCCAATAAAAATTCAAAAAAAAAACAGATAGATGGTATAAAAATTTTCATTATTGTAGAAGT